AATCTCTATAAGGAATTTTTCTGTGCTTTTGTCCTTTCCATTTGGAGAAAATAAAAGACGGTGGTGACTCTTGCTTCCGCAACATTTCGCGAACCAGCGTTAAACAGTCAGTTCCAGATCCACCAATCACACACGGCTAAAAGTTGCTAACCACCATACTTGTTTAACTTACTTCAAGAACAAGCCAACACACTAACATGATGGTGATACTTTTGACTTCTCCAAGCCACAAAGTTCTTGCCTATAAATTGAACTTCATTTGCAACTGTGAAAGGGGGTCGAAAAACTGAAAAGAAAAAAGCTTTGAAACCTTGCTAAAAAATCCAGGAATCCGAAACTGCAAACACAAATATAAAACCTGCTAGCTTTTGATTCTTACATTCAAACTTCAATTTCCCTCAAGTGTTTCTTGACCAAATCATTCAGTGAAGAAGGTGAAGCTTTAGTCTCTCAGAAAGCAATATGAGAATCTCAACATGAAGGACAACGAGAAGGTTTATGAATACATCTCTAGAGTGATTCTGATTACTAATGAGATGAAAGCTTGTGGAGAAACTCTGTCTGAACAAGTAATTATTGAGAAGATCTTGAGATCTTTAACTTCTCAGTTTGATTATATTGTTGTAGCAATTGAACATTCCAAAGATCTGAGCACCATGAGAGTTGAAGAGCTGCAAAGTAGTCTAGAGACGCATGAGTTGCGTATGACTGCAAGAACTTATGAGAGGGAAGTAGAGCAGCAAGCTCTGAAAGTAACTTCTGGTAAGAAGCGTCAGAAGCAGAATTGGTCATAATCCAGGAAGAGAACTAATGGTGGTCAAAAGTCAGAAGCTTCAAAGTCTGATAGGCAGAAGAATGTCCAGAGGGGAAAGGAGAAGTCTGACAAGAAGAATGTTCAGTGTTACTGTTGCAGGAACTTTGGTCACTATGCCAAAGATTACTGGTCAAACAAAGAAAGGAAGTCAGAAGAAGTAAATGTAGCCAGAGGAGATTCAAATGATGAACATGTGCTATTTATGGCTTATGAATCTGATGAGGAACCAGTGAAATTGTCATTTTCTGATTTTGAAGAGGAAGAAGAATATGACTTTGAATATTCTGATTTTGAAGGAGTGATTTTGTATGAGTTAGAATCAGAATATGACTGAGTTAGAATCAGATGACGAATTTGAAGATTTTGAAGATGAGTCAGAATCTGAGGTTTTTGAAGACGAGTTAGAGTCAGAAGATGACTCTGAATTTGAAGACAAGTCGAAATCCGAAGGTGATTCTGAGTCTGAAGAAGATTCTGCTTTTAAAGAAGAGTCAGAAGATGATGACTCTGGAAACTCCGAAGGTGAGTCAGATGGTGAATCTGATTCTGATCCAAATTTTGATGATGATCCAAAATTTGGTGGTAATCATGCTTCTAGAAGGGAAAACTCTAAAGACGTAGGTTCTGGAGGACAAGCTTCTAAAGATGATCATGTTTCTGGTAGAAATCATGTTTCTGAAAGTGGAACTTATGAAGGATGAGCTTCTGAAGGAAATTCCGCCTTTGGCGATGATCATGATTCTGAAAGAGGAACTTCTGAAGGCAGAGGTGATCCAACTTCTGAATATGGTATTTCTGAAGGTAGTGGGTCTGACTCTGATGGTGATCCAGACTCTGAAGACAATCAAGGTTCTGGAGAAAGTCAAAACTCTAAAAGCAATATCTTCTGAAGGGGACAGTTCTGGTATCCAAAGTTTTGAAGGTCCAGTTCATAGGCAACAAAGAGTCTGGAGCATCCCAAGAAGATTTACAGAGTTTGACATGTTGCTAGACACTGAAGTAAACTCTGAAGGAGAAGTTATTCAGTGTGCAATATTAGTAGACTCTGAACCCGTGAGTACGAAAGAGGCTCTTAAGCACCAAGCTTGGTTACAAGCCATGAAAGAAGAACTTGATGCTATAGAGAGAAACAAGACTTGGAAGCTGACAGAACTTCCAAAAGGAAAGAAAGCCATCAGCGTCAGATGGATTTTCAAGTAGAAGCTAAAGCCAGATGGATCAATTGGCAAACACAAAGAGAAATTAGTAGCAAGAGGCTTCCTACAGAAGCCTGGGCTGGATTACTTTGAAGTGTTTGCACCTGTAGAGAGACATGAAACAATCGGACTAGTGATTGCAATAGCTGCTAATAGAAATTGGCCTCTGATGCATTTAGATGTAAAATGTGCATTTCTGAATGGTCCATTACAAGAAGAGGTGTACATTTCACAACCTCCTGGATTTGAGAAAAAGAATCAGGAAGGGATGGTGTTCAAATTACACAAAGCATTGTATGGATTGAAGCAAGCGCCCAGAGCTTGGAACTTGAAAATTGATTCGTTTTTCAAGGAACAAGGGTTTCAGAAGTGTGAGATGGAGTATGGTGTTTATGTTCAGCATACTTCAGAAGGTAATATGATTCTGGTATGTTTGTATGTTGATGACATATTACTCACAGGAAGTTCTGAACAAGAGATAGCTGAGTTCAAGAAAGTTCTGATAAATGCGTTTGAGATGACAGATCTTGGAAAAATGAGTTTCTTTCTAGGGATGAAATTTATATACTCTGAAAAAGGAATCATTTTACATCAGATGAAGTATAAACTAGAGATTCTGAGAGGGAAGTGGAGCAGCAAGCTCTGAAAGTAACTTCTGGTAAGAAGCATTAGAAGCAGACTTGGTTAGAAGCCAGGAAGAGAACTAATGATGGTCAAAAGTCAGAAGCTTCAAAGTTTGATAGGAAGAAGAATGTCCAGAGGGGAAAGGAGAAGTCTGACAAGAAGAATGTTCAATGTTACTGTTGCAGGAAATTTGGTGAATATGCCAAAGATTGCTGGTCAAATAAAGAAAGGAAGTCAGAAGAAGTAAATGTAGCCATATGAGATTCACATGATGAACCTGTGCTAGAAAATTGCAAGGTTGCTATCACACCTGCTGATACGAATCAGAAGTTGGATTATGATTCTGATGGAGAGGATGTGGATGCTACAACCTTTAAACAAATGGTTGGTTCTCTAAGATATTTGTGTAATACCAAACCTGATATTTGCTATGCAGTTGGAATAGTTAGCAGATTTATGAGCAAACTAAAGTGGTCCCATTACCTAGCTGCAGTCAGGATTCTGAGGTATGTGAAGAGAACTCTAAAATATGGAGTGTTATTTCTGTCTGGAAGAAAGATCGAATCAGAACTTCTGAGCTATTCTGATTCTGATTGGTGCGGAGATAGAGTTGACAGAAGAAGTACTTCTGGGTACTTATTCAAATTTCTGGGAGGTCATATTTCTTGGTGTTCCAAGAAGCAACCTGTTATTGCTCTGTCAACCTGTGAAGCCGAATATATTGCAGGTGCTCTGACTGCATGTCAAGTTGTGTGGATTCTGAACTTGCTGAAAGATCTGAAGATTGAGGTAAATAAACCTCTGAAGGTGATGATTGATAACAAGCCTGCAATCAATCTTGCCAAGAATCCAGTGTTGCATGGGAGAAGCAAGCATATTGAGACCAAGTATCATTTTCTGAGGAATCAAGTTCAGAATGGAATAATAGAAGTTGTACACTATAGCACTCAGAAGCAGCTGACAGATGTTCTGACAAAGGCTATCAAAACTGATCAATTTCTTGGTTTAAGGGATGAAATTGGTGTTGTCAGTTTTGGGTAAATATAAATTAAGGGACGGTGTTAGAATTAATTTAGATTTAATTAGATATTAGTTTATATTTAGGAATATCTTTTAGATTGTTTATATCTTTGTTAGAAGATATAAATCTTAGATCTTCTTATATCTTTGTAGAAGATATATTTTAGATTTAATTTGTGTGTATAAATAGCCTAGTGGAGTAGGTTATTGTAATTTCATTGTAAATTCTTATTTGAAGCTATCAGTAAATATTCCTTTGTCTTTTATCTTCCTTGTGCTCCAACATCATCTAGAGGTGATAAAACAGACCGTGGTCCGTCTGACCGGCTTGTGCACCCGTTAAAATATGACGGGTTATATTGAGATTTTGAGACCGCCGTCCATCAAAGTCTGTCATGCTAAAGACTGTCATCCGCCAAAGTCTACATCCTAAAAATCCACCGCTGCATGTATTCATTTAACTTGTCCCACCTTAAATCCACCATTTTTAGTTAATTATAATAATGTCAATTTTTTATGATTTTATTTTATACATTATTTGTGAATATATGCAATATTTTTTGAAATAAAATTTGTTAAAAAATTGCTCTAAAAAATAAATGAAAAAGCCTATTAATCTATTAAAAAAATGAAGAAAAAAAATAAACGGACAAACCCGCCACCCATCAACCCGCCATCTTGACGGAACAAACTAGATTTTTATGTCAATTTCTACTTGACAGACTTGTCCGACCCGCTCTTTTTTTGACAGACTTAAGACATGGTAGAATGAAGTGAGATATACGTTCCATTTTGACACCCCTAAATTTATCAATAAAAAAAAAAAAACTACTCATCACTTTTATTATTTAGAGTGAATACCATATTTCAAAGAATTTAATTTCAACAAATTTACCAATATTCGATTACTAAAAAAAACATATTTAAAAAGAAAAATGGTTAAACAAATTAAATAATTAACCTTTTCTAAATATTTAACTTAAAGTCATATATTTAACCAATTAATTTTAATTCTTAGATAAAAACAACGTTCGACTAGTGTTCGTATCTTTGATGTACGACTCAGGTGAATTAATTTACTAAATGAGTCAGAAATTGTGTTAGAGGAAAAAAAAGAAAAACTTTTAAACACATACAATAATTATTTTACTCATTCATCCAATCAAATAAGAATAAATAAAATTTCTAAAAACATTTTAAAAATTAACTTATTTCAGCCAGCTCAGAGTATTTTAATCGACGATATTCTCCACGCTCCTTTCTTAAATATCAACAACCCTCTCACTCCATCACTCCATTCCGCCGCCGTCCCTTTGAAACCCCTAAAACCCTAATCCTAAATTTCAATGGCGCCTCCAAAGAAACTCCGCCCTACTCCGCTCGAAGATCCACCCACCGCCTCCTCCTCCGATGAAGACGACCAACCACCTCCACTCAAAAAGCCAGAAGATGAAGTAGTCGATGAAGAAGAAGATTCATCCGAAGAAGGAGAGGAAAAAACTGATGAAGATGAAGATGAAGGTTCTTCATCCGAAGAAGAGGAACAAGTTCAACCTACACCTCCTTCACAACCTGCTTCCAAAAACCCTAAACCCGAATCTGGTTCCGAATCCGAATCTGGTTCTGGTTCTGGATCAGAATCTGGATCCGAATCTGATACTGAACAAGAACCTACTCCACCTAACGCCAAAGTCAAGCCTCTCGCATCAAAGCCCATGAAAGCCCAACCACAAGCCCAAGTCCAAGCCACTCCTGTACCGGCCAGATCTGGAACTAAGCGTCCAAACGAGAACGATGCTAAACGTGCTAAGAAGAAAACCACCGCCGCCGGCGGTGGTTCCGAGAACGAGGCGGATGGAGACGGTGACGTGAAAATGACCGGTGAAGACTCTAAGAAGATGTATCAGAGAGTCTTCACCGAAGAAGATGAGATCGCCATTCTCAAAGGTCTTGCTGAGTTCATTTCCAAAACTGGAAAGGATCCGATGAAGGACCCGGTCGGATTTCATAGTTTTGTGAGAAAATCTATTCATGGTGATGCTACCAGCGAACAACTGAAGCGGAAGGTTCGTGGTCTGAAGATGAAGTTCAAATCCGGTGCTAGTTTCACTAGAGAGCACGATAAGAAAGCTTTTGAACTTTCCAAGAAGGTTTGGGATGATAATGGAGTCATTGAAGGTGAAGAGAATGAGAAAGTGAATGAGAAAACTCCCAAGAGTGCTAAGAAGGAAGCTCCTATCAGAAACAATGGTTCTGCTAAGAAAGAAGTAGTTGCCAAAAAGGGTGCTGGGAAAGATGAGAGTAATGTTGATAAAAGCCTGGCTTTGAGTGAAATGTATAATTTTGGTGAAGCTGCGGGGTTGTCCTCCTTGAATAAGGATGCCATGAAAAGGGGAATGGATTTGATGGCCGAATCTAAGGTAGATGAGTTTGATGAGAGATGGAGGAAGATTCAAATTGCGGAGATGGAAGTGTTTGTGGCTCGCGGGCAGCTGATTAAGGATCAGACTAGGATTGCATTGGCGGCATTTAAGAAATCAATCAATTAGGGCTATTTTACTTAGGGGTAATTTTGTTTCTAATCTGGTACATGTTGGATATGTTCTCTTTTAAATCAATCAGTTATCTTATTTAGGGATATTTTTATGGCTAATCTGGTACATGTTTTGGATATGTTCTATGTTTACTTTTGTAGTGATTTTGCTGTTATCTTATGGTCATTTGATTTAACTATTGTGGATTATTGATGAAACTATTATGGTTGTTTGATATGAGACTATTATGGTTCTTTTACATGAAATTATAACGGTTGTTTGATTATATGAAATTATTTGGTATAGAAATTCTGAATATTGTCATGGCTGAACATACACGGGGACACATGTTTTAGTTTTGATGGTTGTAATGTTATACCAGCATGTTTGGATATGTGGTTTGAGAGACCCTAGTTGTTGAACTTTTCATTGGTAGATTTATGAAATTAATTTCAAAATATGCATATTTGGTTGTTGAACTTTTCACGTTTGTGTTCTTTGAACTGTTATGAAAAAGTGATTTATGAGAACTTTGCTTTATATGTTGAGTTCATATATAGATTTGTAGTTGGATTAACACACTGGTCCTTGTTTTGATCCACAATAAGGACATATGCACAGTCCTGGCATTCATAGCTCACAATGTTAAACAAAAATTTATAACAGTGTTTCCATTTCTCTGTCAGCGTGTGTGCCCTCTATAGTAATAGTAATGTTAGTAACTGGTAATTATTGGAAATGGATACTCAGTAAAATTTAAGACACTGAATTGAAACTGTTGGATTTTAAGTTGCGTTATTTATGAATGGTTGTGATGGATATAAAACTTTTTACACCGACCGTGCTTAATCATTAATCACTTTTCAATTAATTTGGGATTTTAATGTACTATCATGTCTGAGAGAAAATCCATTTTCCGCCACTCCCTTTTAAACTCTTGTGAACAGTTTATAAATTATATGAACAGGGTGACTTGAGTGGTGTCTTTTGCTTGTGTTTTTCTTTTTTTATCTTGTGTTTTTGAGTTATCTATAGAAACCAAACAGGTTATAGTAATGGGAATTTCTTAAAATATCTTATAATTGTTTAGCGCACAGATAAAATAATCAGATTTTAGAAATGCATTTTTCAGAAACATCACACATATACATTTCATTTTTTTTGAGTTATGTCTCAATTTTACAATTTAATTTATTTCAAAAATAATCCATAAACGGCTTCACCTTCATCACCCCACCACAGAAAAGCACAGTAGTACAATAGGAAATTGCAGTTAAGAGATGCGTTTTCAATAGAAATAGAAATTCATATGATTGAAGTTCAAGTATGAAATCAATAGATCTGATTTTGTATGATGGAGTGGCACCATCCAATCACATAATAAAATGTGTATACAAAACAATAATGTTTCTTCGGTATGTTTCGAAAATACAATGTGTATACAAAACAATAATGTTTCTTCGGTATGTTTCGAAAATGTATTTTTGAAAGTGTATTTCTAGAATAAAGTTAGTCATAAAAGAGTGAATCTAAAAAAACAAATGAATTATATGTGTGAGCTGTGTCTCCAAAATATATTTCTAGAATCCGAAAGGATATTTTTGAATTTTCATAGAGCGTTCTTATAAAATCAATTGTAAATTAACTTGCACTAGATTAAATTAAGACAGAACCCACATATCTGAAAGCACCTCGATAGACCATAATCCTAAAATATAAAGGCTAACTCTGACAACACTGCTACTAGACAGGTCAAAACAAACTCTCCATGAATTCTTAATTAGACCTTTTACTTGAAACAGATTTTAGACGACAAGTACCATTGAGACACATAAACTGTTGACATAAGATCTTCTACTCCCCAATGGAGATTCAAATTGTTTCAGATGAGGCACACCTTCTCTATGCGAAGTTGTGTGTACACGAATTCAATTGCTAACCAAATACCATATACCTGTATAAATGAGACACTCAAAGAGAATGTGAGGTGTTGATTCAACTATTTCACACCCTCGCTTTGTGCCAAACCTTTGACCATCAACTATTAACTTTGTTCTATTTTCAAACATCATGGTCCTATAGCTCTTTTTTAATTGAATACTCTTCAGACATATTCTATTGTCCATCTTATAGATACCTCTCAACCTTAATAAAATATTTTCCCGTCTACATTGAAACTGCCAGCAATCTCACCATATCTACAAGTCAACGCCTTAGACCATATACCACTTTTCTTGTGTCTAATTTTCCAATTCCATTTATTTAGAACATTGTTAAAAACTCTCAAATTTTTTATACCCAAGCCTCTTTACAAATTATCCTCTCTCCCACCCCAAAAATTGTTTGGACATAGATTCAAGCTTAGAAACAATACTTGGACACAATTTTGTAAAATGAGAGAAAATAGACTTGAATAGCTGATAGGATTAATTTTATCATTACCACTCGGCCACAAACAGAAATATGTTGTTCCCATTTGGAGAGTCAACTTCTCACCGTTATTGATCAATGTTTTCAAGTCTTTTTGACCTTGGATTTGCTCATATTGGAACTCCAAGATAACTGAAAGGAGTGTTTCCACTTTACAATGTAAGATATTGACTGCTTCTTGAATCCAACGGTGGCACATGTTAACGTTCTGTTTGGTAAAACTAGCTGATAGCTGGTAGATAGTAGTTTATAGTTGGTAGTCGCGGTAGCTGAGAGTTGATAGTTGATAAGCTGATAAGCTAACACGACTGTTTGGTAAATTAACGTTTCATTAGCGGATAGATACAGCATAACATGTCATTTTAATTAATAAGGATAATAATATATTTTTGTTAAAATAACAGAGGTATAAATGAAAGAAAATGTCACAAGTTAAAAACTACAAACTTAAAAGCTATTTCAACTAGCTTTTGAAAAAAAAGCTAAAAACTAAAATCGAGTTACCAAACATAACTTTTTCATTTATATGAACTGAAAAACTAAAAACTCTTTTTTTTTTTTTTGAATCTTACCGAACAGACTCTAATAACAATGATACATCTCTTTTGAAAATTAACTTTTATTCTCGACACCATTTAGAGTAACAATAAATTAGCCTTTATGATCATGACATTCCCCCCACTTTGTTTTCCTATTAGTGTATATATTGCACATATGAGAAATTTTCTTTTCCTATATGAAATCTAAATGCGGAGAATATACTCTACTCAACCGATCCTTTCATGAGAATGTTGAATCCTTCTATAAGAAGTAGGAAAACGAAGGGGACAACATGTCTTCTCTCTAAGACCTCTTCCCATATTGAACTTTTTAGTAGGATTGTCATTCACTAATACCGACACTAATGTTGACTTCAAACATTCTAAGATCCATTTTATCAATTATTTATGAAATCTCGTCTTAGTCATTACACAGTCTAAGAACTTTCAAACTTAGTCTTTTCGAAGTCTACCTTAAACACAATCACCTCTTTTTTCTTATGTTTGACTTCACCTACAATTTTCTTTATTATTAGGATACCATCAAGAATTTGTCTTCTTAAAATAAAAGATGGTTATGTGTATGAGATGATAGACCCAATTACATTTCTAAGTCTGTTTTTCAAAACCTTTGCTATAAACCTTATAAATATAGACAATCTGGTGATGGAGATTTGATTTCCACCAAAAAATTCAAACAAAGCCATTGCATTTATTGTTCATTACTTAACTTCATGCTAAGTTTGAGAATACAACATGTCTAAAAGCTGAAATCCAATTGAAAAAACATTAGTACTATATTTCAGATTGACAACTCAAATTTGGATACAATGACACCATCATTATCTGCATAAAGCCATTCACCATCCCTAATAAAACTTCCTCCAACATAAACACCAACATGTTTCTCCCCAAAACCTTTTTTATTCGACCTAAGTGGATGAGAACCCAAAGCTCTAACACCAACTTGACACAAATTAATCTCATCCACATCTCTAACACAACCATTCACAACAATTCCTGACCAACCCATGCTTTGAGCCAACTGCACCAAATTCCCTCCAACCAAAGCACACCTCATGCTTCCACCTCCATCAACTACCAAAACTCTTCCTTCTCCTTTCGTTTCAAGAAGTTCTCTAACCAAAACATTGTCTTCAAACACTTTTACAGTAACTATTGTGCCTGAGAATGCTTGTGACTGACCATATATCTGGAACACTGGATGGAGTATCCTTAAATCACCAGTTGATAGATGTGATATGTTTGTGTCACATATCTCTGCTGTTGCTAGAGAAGACATGTTACAATACTCCTGCAACCACAACAAAAAGAAACAAGGTAGCTTAAGTTATTATGCAAATTAAGCTAAAAAAATAAGCAGCTTATTATGCTTACCAAAAGGCAGAGAAGGAAGTGGAACGAGTTTGTGATGATGATTTTGACTTTGTCACAAAGTGGATGAAACTCATCCAAAACATGTGTGGTTCTCAAACTACAAACTCCAATATATGATGATTGCATTACCCTTGATATCCGTGTCACGTTATCTAGTCGATAAGAATAAGATCACTGGTTTAAAGTTTTGATTTATAATATTTTTTATTTAAAAATATGTTTCCAAATTATTATCTATCTTAATAAATAATATTATCAATATAATCCCATTTAACTCATACAAGACAAGATAAAATATTAGGCAATAAATAAACTAAACGACTCATAAAATTTATTCAATGGTCATAAGTGATAGTCAAGAAAGTTCGCATCGCACCTTAGAAACAACTCAAAGATCTTGAATTTGATTTAAGAATAGTTATATCTTAACATTTTATTAGATTGAGTTTGACCAAATAATTAAAATCGTTGGATTGTTTATATACTATTAGATCGTACTTCAAAATATCCTTCATGAGATGAAGAAGTATTTTCATCTCGTACAACAAACCACAAAACAAACATTTTATTAAGAGGGGGTTCCGCAATTTCTAAATTTTAAGATGATATTATAGTCTAATTTAAGATTTGGTAGATCATTTACTGTCAAATTTTCACTATCGTAATACTCAATATTTATAATCAAACACTAATGTCAATAATGTTGAGCATAAGAAAATGCCTTAAGAGTCTCACATCAGTTAATATATGACGCAGACATCTGTTTATAAGAGGAGACAATCTTCAACTTATAAGTCAATTTTGTAAGGTTGAGTTAAGCCCTTCCAAAAATCTAAGGTGGTATTAGAATTTAGTTAAAGATCTAACGAACCATCACTACAAGAAAAAGCTGAATTAGTTTGGGGTAAATGGCTAGGGGTTAAACCCCTAGCTAAATTTATCTTTAGCTTGGGATAACCTCCTGTCTAGATAACATAAAAAAATGTTTTAAATTTAGTATGGCTAGAAGCTCCCCGTAGCTAAATTTTAGGAAGGAATTTGAAAATAAATCCGTTGGACGCTTGCGAGGGAGTTGCACTTGGAAAAAAGGAAAAACCATTAGCGATGGGGATCACCTCGCCCTACAAAATAGCCTTTGGCCATTTGCGAGGGGGTGATCACCTCGCCAGCTAAGTTGGATTTTTGCGAGGGGCTACCCTCAAGCCTACTGTCACGTCACATCTTATGCTCTACTCCACCTCTGAACCGGTCTGTGCGTTGCAGAGTGGCTACAACTTTTTGGCAGCTAACGAGGAGCAAACCCCAAGCCACGTGACAACTTTATTTCCAAGAATTCGGTGCCGTTTGTCTTGCGTTTGTAGCTTATAGTCTCTTTGTTTCTCTTCCATTCTCTTCATTTCCATTCATTTCCAGAGCTTATGCAACTCTCCCATTTTCAAATTCTTCTTCATTTTTCTCTCCACTAACACTACTATTTTACTCTATTTGGAAGCTCTATTTTTTTTATTTCAAAGATAATAAAGTTATTTCTATATGTTATTTAAGATATATGTTGTTATATTAATTTATAAATTCTGATTTTTGTTGGATTAAATTCGTAAGTATTTATTATATTTTTCTCCATCAACACCAGCTTTGTTTAATAAAGCTTCTTTATAATATATATATATATATATATATATATATATATATATATATATATATATATATATATATATATATATATATATATATATATATATATATATATATATATATATATATATATATATATATATATATATATATATATATATATATATATATATATATATATATATATATATATAAAATTAATTTTTATTCCGAAAATACATTATATATTTTATATATTATGTTATATATTAAATATGTAAAAATATGTTATATATTTTAGTTTATAAATTATATATTTAGTTTATATATTTATATATTTTTTTATTCCGAAAATATATTATATATTTTATTATATTAAATAGTATATTAAAATATTTTATATATTATATATTTTTTTATTCCAAAAATATATTATATATTATATATTTTATTATATTAAATAATATATTAAAACAGTTTATATCTATTATATTTTTTTTATTTCGAAAATATATTATATATTTTATTATATTAAAACAATTTATATATTTAATTATATTAGATAATTTATATATTATATATTATATATTATATATTATATATTATATATTATAAAAATAGTTTATATAAAAAACTATATTTAATTTATTTATTTTATATAAAAAAATATATTTAGCTTATAGAAAAAACAGTATATTTAATAATAAATATTTAGTTTAATTAAAATATAATATATTTAATTTATATAAAAAAACAATTTATTTAGATTATAAATGATGTACTTAGTTATTTTGAAAAACATTATAGATGTAGTTTATATAAAAAAAAGCATATTTAGTTTATATAAAATATAATACATATTTAGTTAATTTAAATAATAATATATTTAGTTTATAGAAAAAACAGTATATTTAATTTATATTTAATTTAAATATTTAGTATATTTAATAAATATTTAGTTTAAATAAAATATAATATATTTAACTTATGAAAAAAATAGTATATTTAATTTATAAATAATATACTTAGTTATTTTAGAAAATAATATATATTTCGTTTATATAAAAAAGGTATATTTAATTTATATAAAATATATCATATATTTAGTTAATTTAAATAATATTAGTATATTTAGTTTATAGAAAAAACAATATATTTAGTTTATATATAATTTAAATGTTTAATATATTTAGTAAATATTTTTGTTTAAATAAAATATAATATATTTAATTTATATAAAAAAATAGTATATTTAGTTTATATAAAAAAAGTATATTAGTTTAAATAAAATAAAATATATTTAATTTACATAAAATTCATTAATTATTAATATTATTAATTATGAAATTTATTAATTATAAATATAATTATAATAAGAAAACTAAATATTTAAGTTTATAATTTAAAAAATAAAATTTGGTTTTTAGTTTGAGGAAAACTCCTTAGCTAATGTTGCTTGCACACTCTCTCTCACACTTCCTGCGCCACCCTGCGTTTTCTGAGCGTCTGTGCCAAAAACAACATGATATTAAGTTAGGGTTAAAACCTCTTGCCAATGTACAATCAATTTTTGTCTTAAGCGAGGGGTTTAGCCCCAAGCTAATTGCTTAGGTGTTTAGTTTCTCACTACTTGTCAGTGACCAGTGCTTTAGCAATTGGACATAACCTCTAACAAATGTTGATTTTGTGAAGTGTTTTTTGTTTTAGTGAAGAGTTAACCCCTTAACTAAAGGGCTTTTTTCTTGTAGTGCATTTGCTATATAGTTTTTGTTATGGAGCCACCCATCATTTATATAAATATTCATGCACCAAATTCAAAATATTCGCATTACAAGCCGATTTTATAAGATTGAGTTACGTCAAACTCAAATTTTAAGATAGTTGAGACTCTTAACACAATCAATCAAATAGATTTTTATACGTCCATTATTTAGTTTTCGCTATCAATTCACTCACTATTTTTATATACACGCACCGAACTTGTGGTTACCTTACAAATTAATTTTGTAAGATTTAAATTACATTTGACCCAAATTCTAAGATGATTACTTGAGAATCTTAGCATAAACATGTTTTTACATATGTTCGTTTTTTTAGGTTTATTTTATTTTCCAAATCCAATTTTTTAACACTAATTTTTTTTTTAATCTGTCTAAAAGTTTAAAGCAAACAAATTTTTTTTAGTCGATGATATATATCTCACGCATCCGTACAACGTAGCGAAGCGAATTATAAATCAGGTGAATATAATTTTAACAACAACAAGTCTTCATTCAATCAGTTTAATAGAAAAAAATGTACATTTCATATGTAACAATAGCAATGTTTTAGTGAAAATGTGATGATTAAATTAAGTACGTATTACGGCGGGTCCCGGGGTTTGTTGCCTCTTTTCTTCCCTTCTCATGGCCGTGATAGAAACGTAATAAGGAAGAGTGAACAATCCATGTATGAAACACAAAATGCCACCTATGAATAGAAATCTGTGATTAAATATTCCACAATATTTTCTTGATCTTGAGTTTGCTAATGTGCCTATAATCAGCATAGAGAATGCAACTGCTAACACAATCCTGGAAACAACACAAATATTCAACATCTTTTTTCTTTTTACTATAGGATCTGATGGGTCTAATATATTTTATCATCTTTTCTTATAAGTTTTATTTTTACTATAATTTATAGATATGTCTTGGGTTATTGAATGATGAGGTTATAAATAGCAAACTTTACCAAGAGAAGATTTGAAAAGCCACTGCTAATTGCCTATTAGCTGTAGCTGATCTGTATTGATCTCTAGACCAAACACAAATGCAACCTCCAAGCAAGTTAGCAATTGCGTGAGCAAGAAGCAAGAGAATAACCGCCGCAACTCCTAGTTTAAAAGCTTGATGGCTAGGATATCTACAATCAAACAACCATATCTTCATGTGTTTCTCCTGTTTACGTATCCAAAAAATTCACAAACAAAACAAGTTAATAAAATCGATTTTAAAATTTAAATCGTCTGATCTTAATCAAACAGAAATACGCGCGTGCGAATGTCACACACGTAGAGATAAAGTACCTTGTTTTGAACTGTTTCTGCTTGAATTCCTAGTATGCCTGCAATAATATCCATCACCATGACAAGTATGCAAATAAGGAAACCATAGTTTTTAGCCATGATGATTTCTTAATGGTTTGTGAAATAAAGAGGTATACAATGTTGATGGTTCTTGACTATTATTTAATAGTGAATTCTTAAGCACTTGTTATGAAAGAATATGAATAATGTTTGAGAGCAAATAGTATGTGTAATCTTTGGGGTGAAAGGTGCTTTAATTCGTCTAAACATTTTACTTTATTCTTGTCTTTCCTTTTCTTAAATTCTTTTCACGGGAGACACGAAAAGAAGAGTATATATCACTAGCAAAAAGAAGAGAGATTCATATATATATATGTGCTTTTGAACTTGGCCATCCATCAAGTATTTCTTAAGAAATTCTATTTTATAACATTTTATTAGTTAGATCGTGTTCGATACAATTTGTGGTGTTTCTTTGTTTCTAGGTACTCCATATGATGGTAAGAAATAGAGCACAATCTTCATTAAGTAGATTCTAAATATATTAAAGAGCATCATAAAACCATCGACCCCATATTCTTTTGCCTCATAGATCAAATGATAAAGGGACTTTCAAAGATAAATATTTCGACTCTTTGGACACGAGGAAAATGTATCGAGAGTCTTCTATGCCATCATCACATAAAGTATAACTTGTGAGGAAATTGACCCTTGTTATGTTACCTATATTAAATGGCGGAACTAGGATAAAAAATGCGGGTGGATTACTAGATATTTAAACTAAATACGAAAATTATATTGTATATAAAAAATAAAATTGATTACTAAAAAAATAAATTACATACCTTAAATTAATATTCTATGTGTATTGAGTGACTTAAAATCATCAATAATAGAATATAAACTAATACATACACTAATTTCTCTTTCAATATAAACAATCATGCCATCTGCTAGAAGTCGACCTTTAATCTTGTTTTGCAACTTAGCCTTGATAATTTTCATTGCTGAAAAAGATCTCTCAGTTGTGGCACTAGATACTGGAAGAGTCGGGATAAGACGAAGTAGTCTATTAATCAAAAAGTAAATTTTATTCTTGTTAGTTGCAACTAAGCACGAACATAGTTTTTGAATAGTTGATAAATTCTTCAAATCCACTGATAGACAGACATCCACAAGAAATTGCTGAAGTTGGAATTGCAAAGTAATCTTCTCTTACTCATTGAAATTCATAGGATAATATTTTTCAACTCAAGTGCAAATAGTATCAATGCCAAAAGCTTTATATCTATCTTTAAGATTCAGAGCTCAACTTAGAGTTAACAAATCCATTGCTTGCTCACTAAATCTACTATTCAACTCTTGTAATTATTGGTCAATAATAGCAAAAAATATTTCAACTTTAAAGTAATGTTCTAGTGTGACCTGATTCTTTGCAAGGTGAGAGCGTCCATATCTTGTTGCTGAATGAGTATCATCAAGATTAGGAATCTCAATATCATGTCTCACACAATAAGACGTCATATTAACATACAATTTATTCCAACCATTTTCTCTCAGCTCTTGAATAAGAGTTTTTGTTGCACGAACCAAAACCATAATATTAACCACATCCCGAGATTGTTATTGTAAAGCTTGACAAAGCACATCTGTTATCCCCATAATTTCTTTCATCAAATGCAAGATCAATATAAAATAAAACTTCTTCAAGTAATTGTAACCACTATCACCATACCCACATGTACTATAATTTGCTCATTCCTTTGATAATGTTTTTAAAACACGACAAGTTGCTTCATACATATTCATCAAGCTACAAATAGAATTGAAATGTGATCCCCAATGAGTAGTCCCGACTCGTTTAAAAGTACCAACTTGATTTTCATCTTTACCCGTAATGATCTCATCAATCTCTAATAAATGTTTAATTTCTTTTAATTGATTTTCTTGTAACTCATCATGCCGCTTTGGTGAAGAACAAACAACATTGACCACATAAGTTAGTTTTTCAAAGAATTTATTTATTGGTTTGATTTTTCTTGAAACACTAACTAAATAAAGTTGCAATCGATGAGAAAAATAATAGACATAGAATGCATAAGGGCAATCCTTCATAAATAGTGCTTGTAAATCATTCCATTCTCCTCTCATATTGTTTGCACCATAATACCCTTGGCTACAAAGGTTAGAAACATCAAGGTTATATCTAGAAAGTATATCACATATATTTTTCGTAAGAGTTAATGTCGCCGTGTCATTCACATGTGCCACATCATAAAACCGCTCTTGTATTAAATCAAATTTATCAAAAAATCTTAAAATAAGAGCCATTTGTTCCTTGTTTGACTCACCACAAGCTTCATCTACAAGGATACAAAATTTGGAACCACCAATTTCTTCACGAATATGCTTTCTAACCCTACTAAAAATAATTTCCAAGAGCTCTTTTTGAACTTTATGCGAAGTATATTTGCCATTTTGCAGAGCATTATGTCGCACAATTTTTTTATGCTCAATTGCGACAATGATGATATGTAAAGAAATGTAGTGGTAAAGATTTGAGATTAAGCCATCAATTGACTTATCTCAACACAATGAAGTCGCCATCGCACTTTATTGTTTCCAAAGGGAAATGGAAAAAAAGCGAACAAAACCCAAAAAGATCAGAGATCGAGGTACGGGGGTTGGTTATGCAAAGGGAAGATGTTAGCACCCTAAGCATCTACGGTACTCCGCATGATCCATTTTGTTTGGTTTCTTTTAAAAGGAGTGTCATGTAAAGGTTTACTTGCTAAAGGAAAAGAATGAATGAGTATTTGCAAACAAAAGAAAATGAAATTATTTTTGTTGTTTTTGTTGCTCGCCTTGGGTCGTAAGACTTAGTGCCTACGTACTCCCTCGTGCAATGAGAAAGTCAAAGCATCGTAGTTAGGCTGGAAAAGACTTGTCTGTTGATTGTTTTTAAACAAGGAGACAAGTCGTTATTGTTAGGAGAGAAATCTCGACTAACGCCCACAAGATGTGAGAAAGATGGACCCTGCGTCAACAAGAGTGAGGGTTTGAGAACGCCTTTGGTACTCAAGTGGAAAAGTCGACACGTTTATAACCATGGGGATTGGAGAATGTTGCTCGACTATCAATGAATCATGTCTCATCTTGAAAAAAGTTTTTGAAGGGTAAGGGTGCTCGAACGCACAAAGAGTTTGAATGAGTTGAATTGTTTTTGTTAATTTTGAAAGATGTCAAAGTATGATTAAATGTATTGAAGTTTGTTTAAAGAAAAGAAGTTTTAAAAGAAAAGCACTCGACAAAGTCGAGGTTTATTATGAAAGCGGTTTGAGTTTATAAACAAAGAAGATTTTGAAAAAGAAGAATATGGGAGAAAAGAATGTCCTATGTACAGGAGGGTAAAAGATATGGTAAAGAGAATCCGACCGAATAAGAAACCAGTACTTGACATGATGAAGTAAATACTGTATTCCCATCCCTTTGGGTTTAAAGCCACAGACAGGTAAAAAGTTAGCTAAGAGTATACCAAACCTCAGGTGAAAATAAATCACAAGCTGACAGCATCAAAAAAACCAGATGTAAGATAATACTCCAAGCAGCGAATAAAGCGCAATTAATCATGAGCGAGAGGTGCAACACGTGAAAATAAATCACGGATAAAGAAATCATGGATGAAGCTCGCGGTACTCGATAAGGCTTAAGATATCGAATAAAGCTCGCGGTATCAGAAAAGCTTCCCTGCATCACATGAAATATATAGACAAAACTAACAGCACGGGGAAAATCATGTGCGTCCGTACAATTTTCAGAAGTTAGTTGGAATTGAAAAATAAAATCGCAATGCGAATGAAAATAATATTTACATAACCTAGAATTATTTACAAATGAAGTGAATAAAATATACAGTCAAAATATGATGTACAAATATATATTTACAGTACCAAATATTAAATCAAAACAGTGAAATACAATAAAGAGGTAAAGGGAGAAGTGTAGGAGTTGTGGACGCGCTATGCGGAAATGAATACTTGAAACAAATTTTTTTCGAAACCTTCACACTAACAAACACGTTAGTAGCATAAGCGGTATAAAAATAAAAATGAATGAAATTGGAACAAGATTTGAATTTATGTTAGTAATCACAAAGTATAAAAAATCAAAATGAACTTGTATGATGCATATGAACAAATGAATATTTATACAAATCAAAATCAAGAATTCATGATATTGTTCAATGTAAACACAAAAAATCAGCATTATCAAAAGTTGGACAACAATAAATTATGCATAAAAAGCTCATGAAAATCAATTTCCAAGTGATTCTAAACTTATGTACAAACACCAATATCAAACCAACAAACTTTGTAAATTGATTTCAACTTGAAACATAATCAAAACATTCTTTAAAATCACTCAAACAGCATGACAACATTAACACCGACAATTTAACAAACTCATGTCATTTTCATATTAAGTTCAAAAGTGATTAAAAAAACAAAAGTTTTGAATTAAAGTTTTGGCAAGGTGTAAATCCGGACATCATTACGGTAAACATGATTATCACATCAAAAAAATGAAAACACAAATCAAGAATTCATGGTCCGGTCCAATCAAGTTCAAGATATGAGAAAAGATCAAATTTTTAAACAAACTTAAGAGCTTTTAAGTCGGACAACAACCACGTATTCTTGATAAAATCAACTCAAAAGTGCTCAACAACTTAAGGTAACAGCCAATAATGCCATAGTTTCTCAACTCAGATTTTATTCTAGTAAACAAAACAACCAAGAAAATTTAAAATTTAGATTCAAAACCAACATTATAGAAAATTGTTTTTTTCTCCAGAATTCAACACAGCATTTGCTTTTTCACCACATAACAACAATTATCACGGAATCACAATTATATGCAACTGAAATGAGATTGAAAAAAATTACCCAAAAGTCGAAACCGAAAATTGATTTGAGGAAGACTAGAAGCAAATTGCGTGTTGAACAGAAGGTGCGGTCATGGGTTATTGCGTATTACAAAGAGGGACAGCTTGCTGAAGAAGGAGATGGAAAGTGAATCGCGGTTAATAGTGGAGGTTG